TGTCCCCCACAACATAGCGCACCTTCTGCAGGTTCTTCTCGTACACGCTCAGTACGGTGGATATATGATCCAGGTGGGCTTCAGCTGTCTGGCCGTCTTCCATTGGCGAAAGCGCAAGAAGGCGCTGGTGGCGCACACCATTGTAGACGTAGATCGCGTAGATGCCGAGGAAGTGAAGTGAGTGAATAGTCCAACCGTCGAACATTAAAGCAAAGGAAGTTCCCATCTCCTTTGCAATGATTGCTCCAACGGCTAGAGCCACATGACGCATGTACCGCTTCAGTGTCTTGGTAGTCGTAGGCTTCATTGTAACTACAGCACGCGTAGCCTTGTTTTCCACTTCAGTGATTGGTAGATTTCTCTCGATCACCCATACCATCCATTGGTAGATATTGCGCGTCACATCGTCCACAAAACCAAACGTGGTAAGTGCTGGCGTCTGCGTGGCATGAAGTTCTGCAAACCCAGCAGCATACCCAGCGTGCTTGCTGTTAAGGTGGCTGAGGAGGTTGCTGTACCCCGTGCCGGGCGTCTGCTTCCGAGGAAGCCCACAGGATTTACACTCAAAGCGACCTTCACCGAGGTCGCTGAAGTAAAATGCGCAGAGTTGACGGGAGGTCATCGTGGGTAGCGTGGTGGGTAGCGTGGCTAAGAGTGGTGGCTTGTTCTCTAAAGAGAAAATTGAGAAGTGGGGAGTGTGTGAATCAAAGCGCGCAGAGTGTATTTGCAAGGCAGTAGAGAACTGTTGGTTGTCAGCGCTCCTGGAAATGGTTGGAAGCGTGTAAAATATTGTATTATTGTGTACAGTTATGTATTATATTTATCTTGGAAAAATCAATAGTAAGTTATTCCGTAAATATAATACCCGTAATATTGTTATTATACTATTTTTCCCATGCCCTGGCGTGGCCATGTCGTCGTATAAAGACACAAAAACGGTCGCGCAGGAGCTACGGAGTGAGCTCCTCACTAACTGGCTTAACAATGAGAGATCTGTCGACGACGTTTTCAGACTGCTAAACCTGCGTGGTGACGGGTTCATGGCTTTAATGAGCCCTAAGCTGGGCGCCTTGAAAGATTACATTAAGGCATTTAACCGTGAGAAATCTGCTGATGAATCTCTACTCAAGGTTATGACAAACGGCTTCGGTGGAGAAAGAGAATACGCAAAGTTTTTGGTGAAAGCACAGTTGGAAGTAGTCCCAGGAAGCGCGGCCAGATCGTTTCAGACGGCACTGTTTAACCAATGGCTTCAGCGCAATATTGACCCAGAAATGCTCTTGAAGAACCTCCGACTGGACCGTGGTATGGAGGACGTCCTTGCCGACACAAACCTGGTCACGTTGAGCACGTACATTCCCGTGTACAACGCAAGGAATCCAAACCGTAAGACATCGCTGATCGGGACACTGTCTGCCCATTACGGAGATAAAGAAGTGGTGAATGCGCTTTATATTAACAGAGACGACTCACGCATTGACAGTCTAGTTGTAAACCTGCAGAGAAAGCAGTTGGCCTGGTGGTTAGAAAACGAGAAATCTGCGGACGACGTTTTCTCGCTACTGAAGATTGAATCGGATGATTTCTCGCCCACGAAGGGCCAAACTTTTGCGGCATTGGGAGAATTTGTCGCTCTATTGAACGCCATAAATCCCCAGCATCAAACAAATGTGTTCGCCGTGCTGCAAAATAGGTTTGGCGGAGATGGCCAGCTTGCTCGTGTCGTCATCAAGGCACTGGACACCGCAGACTCGGAAAGCGTGCACTCATCGGCCTCAGCCGCCTTGAGATACCGGAAGGCCCTGTTCAGTCGATGGTTCGACAACAATATAAAGCCAAAGGATATTTACTTGAAGGTGCT